ATACAGCGCCTGGCGGCACAAGCCCCTCAATTTCTGTAAATCAATCATTTAGATCTTGCAATCGCTTGAAAGCTTTCGGGCCGCGGGTAAACGAAAGAGTAAGCCATATCTAACAAGTACTTACACAAAGAGGACAGCTGCCGCTGCTGCTGCCGCCACAGCGGCGGCAACATTGCGATACTGCTACGTGGCAGCCGTGGAGCTGACCAGATGGTGGCCATGATGGTAGGCTCCGTTGCTGCTGCTGTGTGCTGGTGGCGGCGGAGGCGGCGTGGGGGGCGTGCCCGAGCGGGACCTTTGGCGGTGGGTGGGCGTAGAGGTGGTTGGCATCATGGTGACCATTGTTGGCGAGGCGGCCGAATGCACGGTGCCGTTGCTGCTCCCGGGCCGCGAGTGTTTCTGATGAGGATGGGCGGCTGCTCCGCTTGGGCTGGATGGAGACCGGCTCAGGGCCAGTGGCTCGGGCGTCGGCGGACGAATCTGGGTGAGGGGCAGGTGGGTGAAGTGCGCTCCATAGCGGCTCTGTTCGATGCTCGGATAGGTCAGGTACATCGGTGCTCCGTTCACCAAAGCCATCGGTGTGTAGTAGTTGTAATAGATTTGGGCTACAATACGATTTATTTCTACACGTGCTGTGGATTGGATCAACAGAGATGCGAGATTAAAAATTGATTTCACAGCGAAATACACCGTAAAACGGTCCAAATTACTTGACTCAGTACCCCGTAAAAGAGTGTACCCCCTCAAGCCACATATTGGTTTTATGGTGGTATGGTTTTATTGGTGATATTAGTCTATTCCTAACCATAGTAAATAATCTTTTGCCAAGCAGCTCCCGTTGACGGATTCCTACCTTAAAGCCTGATGGAACTTGCGTTTTGGTTTATTTTGAATTGTAAATAATACATTTTTAACATATTCTAACCGAGAGAAATATCCAATTAAAATTATATACCTACATATGTACTTATGTTTAAAAAATTGTATAAGTTTAATTTAAAAAATGTGCTGCGACACTTTATTATGCAATATGTTGGAAAACGTAGAGTGGATTTGCTTTAAAACTTGTTCTGTTGAAATTCGAACAATCTATCACAAAAACTAAAAACATGTACATTTGAAATGATTTAAAATTTACAAGAATTGTAAATGAAATGCATATAAACGTTCGAAATATCTTTAAAATCAAATTTTAAATTCATAAAACTAATAACGAAAACCCATACAAACATTCCGAATTGTACTTTTTCCATTCTGGATTGATCTTCCACTGTGTGTCAATACAAGAGACAGTAAGTCCATACATATGTATATGTACATATGTATGTATGTATACCCAATCTTAATCTATAAAGATCTGTAGCTCAGAAATATTTAGGCTGAAACCCCGATAAAGGTCCAGAAAAAATAAAGGATACACATAATTATTATTAATAAAATTACCTATCTTAGGCACTTTAGTCCCTGAACTATCGGTAACATCCTGCAAAGTGTATAATATACACCTTTTCTTTAATTTATAACATTAACTTATGCTTATATTTTATGCAGAATTTACATACGCATCGCGTCCTACATCGTTGGCCATAACGTCGGTTTTCACACTTTATAACAAAAATGTGCAAGAGGGTAGGGAAGTAATGGTATACTGTATGGGAAGGCACCCATAACATTAACTATGCCCGGCACTAAATGTCTATACCATCCGAAAAAGATTTGCGCCATTTTGGAATGCACCTGGGGACCCGGCCAGGGCCGGCCCACCTATGGCCTCGGCATGCACTTTATGCGCAACCTTCGCACGGTGCTCACACAATAAAACCTCCCCAGCACGGCGCCCCTTCGGCCAAGACCCCAGATCCCAGATCCCATCCACAGGCAGAGCCAGAGCCAGAGTCAGAGCCAGAGCCAACGCCAAAGCCAAAGCCACATCCCAGCTCCAGTTGGAGTTTCTGTTGCAAGAGCCTTTGTCTTCCGCTGACTCCCCTCCTTATCTGCGTGGCAAAAACTTTTCAAAATTTTACTGCTTGCTGCAACATCAAAATGCCAAGTTTTTACGATTACTCTGCTGCTGCTGCAATTTTACTTAATTTTAATGGGATTTTTTCTTCCGCCAACTGCAGAATGCATTAAACAGGGCCAGAGCATACGAGGCAGAATTACGCATGAGCGTGCTCCTGCTCTCGAGACTCAGAAATATTTGATAGGGAATACATAGGTACAGTCAATACCAGACCCAACCTAGTCGCAACTAATGCCGCCCGCCCATTGTGCAATTTGACGAAATAATAAAAAGTCGTAAAGAAGTTGTGACCTGACGTTGGGTGGATCGAGTCGGTGGGACAGAGGCCAGCAGTCCAATACAGCTGTGGTCTTACTCTAAAGTAGCTCTTAAAGAACTTGTTAATATATATAGCTATCTCGCTTGGGTCAGCCAATAAACTGAGACCTAGTGTCGGGTTAATTAGAAGGATGGATTTTCAAGTATTCTAAGCAGAGGAGAAATCCGCCTCCACTCTCAGAGGTTATTAAGCCAAGCGCTTCCAAGGCTATGCAATTTGAAAAATGTAGTATGTATAGGTATATATAATCCGTGCGTTGAAAAAATAAATTAAAGGAGATTTTATATTTCTTACAGGAGGACAGGAGGACGTACGTCTGTCTGTTCATCTGTCTGTTCACAGCTTTCATGTTATCCCGATGTTATTTGGTAATGATGACATTTTTCGTTGAGACACGTTGAAAACTAAGATCCCAGGAAATCGCTAGAACGACCCTATACATACGTTATGGGGTCAGAAGCTAACCTCCTCAATGGTATAAAAAAGAGAATATTAGCGAGAGTTCTGATAGTGAGACCTCCCATTATTTTCTCATCTTAAATTTGTTTTCAAATATGGATCAGGACAATGCATAAGGAAACCATTCCAGAATTCATTCGTTCTTTGTTCTCATACTGCTTAGATGAATGACCAACCATTATTCACGTGTATAAAGTTCCCCGCTATGAAATTAGCTCCCTGGACTGCTCTCCCTTCCCTAGAGTTTCATAATCTGAGCGCTTGCAGGCCACAAAACCTCCCCAATAGGTTTTCAGTTGACTTGGCCGAGGAGGCAACCATTACCATTTCCCGAGAGAGAAACAAGAATCAGGCCAACGTGATGGAAAACTAAACGTATGTCCAGGCTGGTTATGGTAGGTCCATTTATGATAAACTGGCTGGTTATTATTTTACAGGGATGGACCGGGATACATCCTGCTTGTCTATATATAGATTATACATATATCAGATGTCTGGCACAAGTGGCAGCTTGTGTCGGTATCGTATCCATGTAAGTTGTTGAGCAGTAAAAATAACAGTAGCCCTCCCAGGAAGGAGATGGAGATGGAGATGTGGAGTAGAAGTTGACGCTGCACAAATAATTTACGACCCGCCCACAATATGAAGTCGTAAAGTTGGAAATTTTTGCTTCCTGCTGCCGCTGGGTCTGAAATTCCCTATAGTTTTTAATAAGCAATGGTAAATGTTTGGGATGAAAGTGGAAAGAATTTGTTCGCTGAGCTGTGCTAAGCAAGACTGGACTGGGCTGTGGCTGAGGTATAAGGTGAGGTGGGCATCTCTTTCCCCATTTCCATTTCCATCCCCATCGACTCTCACATCCACAAGACGATGATGATGAGGCTCTCATCTCGTTATGGCGCCTCATACAAAATGGTATACTGCCGAGTCTATTTTTTTATGTGAATACAAAGAGAGGCGTCGCTCAAAATATGACAAAACGCGAGGATATGGAAAGGTCTCATAAAATAGTTATGAGGGGTTGGACTAGATACCTCTCGGGTGTATGCATTCAGTAATTTGCTTTGTGGGATATTAGAGGAAACGAATGCTAAACTAAAGAGCTTCGGGTACGACTTTGGTATTTTAAAAATACGTTCATTAATTAATGTTACAAATAGCAGATATACTAGCATGGTTTTTGTGCATTTTCGAATTTTAAATTGGATCGCACATTGGAAAAGTTTCAACAAAAATGAAAAGAAATTGAAGATTTGAAGCCCTATGAAAGCAAATCGCAGCCTGCAAATTTCAATAAAATTCGCGATTCTTTGCCACCAAATCAGCTCACATGTTGGATGATCCCCTCCCCTCCCCACCCACGCACCTTTCCCGCACAATTCAACCATAAACACTTTTAAGCTTTATGGTGGCCACATTTACACGTTGCCATTGCCTACCCATGGCAACCCAGAGAGCCCGTTCTTCATGTCCCAGTCTGTCTCAGCCCCGTCCTCCTGCAATTCCTAAAATACCATCGTGACGTGTTTAGTGCCGAGAAACGATGTTGAGCTGTTACGGCCGGAGTATTGCAGCTACCTGGCAGTAGAGTGGAGCGTAGTGAAGCAGCTTTCCCATGCCGGAAAGCAAGGAAGCAGGCAAAACTGAGAACTGAAACCGAAGCTGGGTATCCCAAGCCTCTGAGCGACGGTGTTGGCAATGTCGTAAATTTTTCGCATGCATTTTTCGGTTTAATGATGCATTTACGATCCGAGCAGCAGTGGCGACTCAGGCAACTCCCAGCTCCCGTACTGCTCCGATCCACCGACCCACCAATTCCGAACTGGAAACAGCAAACTTCGTCTACTTCTGGGACGTGCCATGGTAATGGTTTCAGTGAAATGGCAACAACTTGAAAAGCAATCGTTACAATTTTTAATGTCATCAACAAAACAAACAGCAGCTGATACTTCTGCCCTGAGGCAATTCCATTTTCTGGGGATTCGGGTTGCGTTTCCATTTGTTAATGGCTTCAAGGAGGGTGTAGGGTGTAGGGTGTAGGGTGTAGGGTGCAGGTGTAGGGCGGAAAATCGTATTCGCTATTGCTCTCGGCAAGTAAGGTTAGCCTAACTGATTCTCTGAGTAGGGAAAATAGTTTATTTTTGACATTTCAGGTTTATCCTTTTATAATATTTCGTCGTACTTAAGTCGATAACAATATTTATACAATGAGAATTATTATTATTAAATATTACAAGTAGAGTTTCGCAGTACGTCGAAAGAGTTAACCTATTAACTCGTATATATGTATATATATATTGTATTTTATTTGTGCACCATCTCACAACAATTTTTTGTAGCACATCCCAGCTGGAAATATGTGTTCGTTCTTCTTTGAACACAAAACTCATATATCGTACTTAGCAAACAGTTTTGAGATTAGCGGACAGGATTAGATATGGACGAGTATGGAATATAATTTCCTCCATGGCACCTATTGATATCCAATTTGAACTGTACTTAAGTATCTGATAACCTCTTCAATCATTCAATGATTCAATGATTCAATGCTTCAATTATGTATGTAAGTACTAAGGTAACAAAGGAATAACTCAAGTGACTCGTCAGAAGAGTTTTCTGGGTCTGTTCGGTGAAAATATATAAAGAAAGACTTAATCTAATTTTGAACTAAATTCATACACCCGATGTGCAGATTTGTGTTGAAAGCACTTTGTTGATTGTTGAAATGTAGAGGAGTGTTGATTTACGGTTTTTTTCGAAAATATTTAAAATTTATAGATGCAAAAAGTTGACTTCTTTTGTTGGCGGCATTGTGTTTCTTGAGTGTTGAATAGGATCCAATGGGGGAGTGTTGATTGAAGAGAAGAGAATGTTGATTGATGATTGATAGGCAGGCATCGTCCTTAGAGCGGCGGTTATTGGTTGATTGAAGAAGGAGGGTGTGGGGAGCAACGGTCACAGCTCACACATCGATATATTTGGTTTGTTGATTGAAGAAAATCCAGTGGCGCTTTAGCTTACCGATAAATTCGATATATTTACAAAGGTTTGGCTTCTTAGAACTTTAATTTACTTTACTTTGATTTACTCAAGTCGAACTCGCGCGCGCTTTTTCGCTTAAGCATTAAGCTAAGTTTGTGATGCTGAACAATAAATATCGGGGCAAAGATAAAATCGCAATATTCGTTACTTCAGTTAATGAAAAATTATCATCCACATTGCCGCGTTGTGTTGCGTAGCTCACCCCCGTCATAGATATTCAAATTATGCTGACGGGAGTACTCATTCACAACGTACTGGCCTGGTTTGGATCAGATCGGAAGATATTGGGAATTTATTATACGTTGCACATGGTGGGCGTGAGGGTAATGTGTACGGCTGGCGGCTTCTCGACGATCTCTTGACTTACCCTCTTCGATTCGACGCGAAGCCTCTTCGATATTTGCGTCAGCGTCCTTCAGTATCACATACATGAGCGGCATCAGCTCCCAGGGATATCGGAATTTCTCTAATAGCTTTTGGCAATAGTCTAGGAAAACGTCTTGGCCTGAAATGTATACAAAAAATATGAGACACATATTAGTTTTCTCATGGTTCTCATTGATCGGACATCGATCTGTTATCCAATTCAAAGTCAGCTTCATTCATTCATCAATCCACATAACATAAACATTGACATAAATAAAAATAATTCAAGTCCCGACTTATCTCCATACGGTTCTTCTTAAATTTCGCATGGCACACATTTTGTCAAGCAGCGACAGATCCGACTCCGCCTTTACCCCTTTTGCAATCCCTGCCAGACAAAGCAATGCGAGACGTAAACATGGCGGCTAATTGGCGGCGAAAATTGCAACCGTATACTGCAGGGAACGCAGAACGGAATCGAAACTCTAGAGACTAGAGTCAAAGAATGCTCAACCAGCATAAGAGGCGGCTGTTGTAATGCAAGATGTCAAGAATGGGCTCAATACAAAGGCTGAGGCTGAATCTAGGCTGAAAATTGATAATTTCTGCATAAGAATCATCAATAGCTCTGAAACTATTATTTTCAATAAAGAACCCCCACCTAATCGGATTAAGTCATATCTTAAATTAAGGTAAATTAAATGTAGTTTAACTTGTGAAACTGACAATGTCCTATTAAATCGTTCATGCTATCATCATCATGTTAAAATAAAATAATAAATAAAATATATGGAAATTTGCGTGTTTAACAATATCATTATGCCTGGTAACTTGATTTTTTTTGGGAAATACACGACACATATGTATGTTGTATTTACTGAGTATTTCGTATCTTTAGGGATATAAAAATATAAAGGGTATAAGAAAAAAGTCATAGAGAACGGATGATCTTATAACAAAAGCAACAAGCTCCCTGTGCGCCCTATTTCTATGGCCCCTGGTGACCTGTGAAAATTGCTACTAACATTCTGCAGTTCTTTCGTGGTAGGTGCTATAAGTATTGGCTGAGTTTTCCATTTTTTTCGATGTTTTTCAGCTAAAGGTTCTCTGTCACCTGTTATTAGTCTGTAAACAGTCTGGATCGCTGTGAAGCGTTTTAACCGAGACCGTACCTATCCTAGTGGGTAGTACCCATTAGAGTGCATTTATAGATTTACTTTAATGTTTACACATTCTACATGCAGAAAATTTTAACATAGATCTATTTTTGCGGCAGGCTGATAATATTACTAATTCTTATTTTACTAATATATGTACATAGGTAGATTTCATAAAAAGTAAAAAAAATAACTCTTTTTAGGGAAAGTTCTTTGCTGTTGAGTTATTCAAGCAAACTTTACAGATTGTCATAAAGTCTCGATCGATCTAGTTGGGGATTAAATGTATCTTAGTATAGTAGGAAGCTTTGAATGGTTTTATGAAAACAAAAACATTATTTGGAATGTGTGTATAAACATTGCACGTTTATTCCACTCGTTTCCCCAATGGCTACCTGTCCGACCATTCCTCATTTCGCTTTGGCACTATTCGTGTGGCCTCTGGTGCTGTCGTTTCATGTTTAAGTTCCTTGCCCTCCTCTCTCTCTCTCTCTCTCTCTCTGTTACACTCTCTCTCTCTCTCTCTGTCACTCTCTCTCTCCGAGCTTATGCCATTATGCTCTTCGTATCGCCTGCCATTTTTTTCTTTCTTCTTGTTTTTACCTACACAGCAACAACAACAAAAACAATAGCCTCGGCATCGTCATCGTTGTCGGTAGTTTCGTTGTAGGCGGAGCTTCATATCCATTGGCCCGTTTTATTATGCCTCTCGCTTCTTTCCTCCTCAGTGATGTTGTAGTTGCTGGCGCTGCTGCTGTTGCTGCTGTTGCTGTTGTTGCTGCTGTTGCTGTTGCCTGCAACTGTGCTGAGTAGTTGGCGCTTTGTTGCAGGGAGTTTGTGGCGCAAGATTTGCATTGGTGAACTCAGCCAGTGGCCAGTGTGTGTTCGTGAGCTGTGTTGAAGCATGTCTTGGAGCAGCTCTACTTCCTGTTGTTGCCCCTTGCTGCAGTTGCAGTGCCGTTTAGCTTACATGATTTCTGGTGTGGCACAGTGCACGGTGCACACATACATAGGAGAGGAGAGGCATGCAACGGATCGCACGGCACGCACATTTGTTGGGCTGTTTGCAGCACTTTAATTTAGTAATTAAGCCATTAGTGGCTACTAGCTGACCATTGTTTTTGGGGGAGCTGTGGTAGTATTTTATGCTTTCAAATTATTTTATTAGCCGCAAATAAATCTAATAAATTGATTTATTGCTCCCGCCAACCACAGCATGACCGTGGTCATAACAGCCAAACAATTTGATTAGCCCCAATTCGTTTTGTTTTTGCATGTTAACCACCAGGTCCCATTGGATTGGACACAACTCGGTCGGAGGGAATTACACGGCTGAACCCCCATAATCCCATTTTTGTACAAACATTTTCAGCATTCTGTATATAAATAGGGTCACCTAAAAGCATTTGCTGTTGGCCAGAAGCAGGGAGAACATTCAATACTCAGTTACATTCCTTCGAGTATAAATATCTGAATCCAGATTAAATCCCTGGTTGTACATACTAGCTGTGGTTTTGGAGACTTCTGAGTGTTGAGCTAACTAATAAACCCGAGCTGGGAATCCATCCGAATGTAGGATGGATACATAGATAAATCAGTCTCCCACTCGTACATAAGTTTGTTTTTGCATCTGTATCTGTCATACTATTCAGATGAAAGGGGAACTGTGAAAGGATCTTTTACGATACATACCTATCCCAACCTAACCTTATCCTACGGGATGTTCCTTTTCGTTCGCATCCCAGATGTGCAATAGTTTTAGTTTGATTGACGTGAAACAAATTCAATACTCATCCCGAGCCCAGGACATTTTAGTCACATTTCCCGAACTGAACGAGTATAGAGATTATGCAATTGTTATGTAAGCTACTCGGAAGATGTTGGTAACGCCCACTTTAAACGCACATTTTGTCTACTTCCACTCCCGACGAGCTGCAGCTGTCGTTGTTGCACCACCACACCCACACCCGTACAAAAACTCAGAGATACATATACATACATATATATACACATATATACCTATGTATTTTTGGATATAGAGGTATGTACTCAGATGCACATTATATGTATGTACAGTTAGCCAGTAAACGATGCCATTAACGCGCATAAACTGACTCTGCGCAGGGTCGAGAGGCAGGAGTGCATACGCATACCAACGCAGAGAAATATAAGTATATATGTACATACATATCCAAAGATACAGACATATACAGGGTATATGCAGGTTGCACTCGTGTTGGTGCTGTTATTACTTTTATTACTGTCCAAACTGCAGCTAACCTTCCACTCGGCTCTCTGCTCCTGCTCTCTCAAAACATCCGAATCCGACTCCGACTCCGGCTCCGGCTTCGAGTGCTTCCCCGAGTGTCCTCGTTCCGGGGACTCTTCGCTCGTCCCCATCCTGCTTCCCGCCGAGTCGTTTAAGTCGTTAGCCAAGTTTTCTTGCTCGTTTTTCTGCGCCTTTTTATGAGTTTGTTGCTGCAGCACGAAGTGGGTTCTGGCGCTGCTCCCTCTCCTTCTCCTTCTCCTTCTCCTTCTCCATCTCCAGCTCCTCCTCCGGCGTCTGCTGCAGCTGTTCTCGCTACGCTCCGCTAGGAGGAGGGGAGGGTTATATACAGCTTTTTTGTACCAATTGGCAGGCATTACATGGGTAAGGAATCCATTGCCAAACGACGACAGACGCCTCGGCACCGACTTCGTTTCGCTAGCTGCAACAACTCTGCGCCGTCTTCCATCGCTAACTGGATAGTTTCAGTTATGTATGACGAGTATACATACATATAATACACAAATATGTACATATAATAAAACGTAAATTTAAACCAATAATTAGTTTGGGGGCTACCTGGACAAGATTTGAATCTTACTTATATCATACTATATCTATATCATTTCCAAGTATAATACATACTTTTCTGTGACTCGTTATTGTTCGTCTTGATCCCGCAATTCAGATCTGATCTTGTAGACAAACGTCAACATATGCATACTCTGTGAACGAACGGTCTACTCTGCTCAATTCATCTATGTATTTTATCCGGGTACATTGTATTCTACTTGTTAGTCGCTTTGAGCAGCACGATCTTAATTGTACGCCCCATACTCGTAATACACATTTTTGATCAAATATAATAGCCTAATTAGCGAGCTTAACAGCTTTGGATGCTGTAAAGATGCTTATTTGGAGACTTATAAAACAATTAGAAAGGACTCGTCTATTTATCTTGAAGTCCAGACATGAGATTGTAGCTTTTTATAGTTTAAAATATCTGTTAAACTGGTGATTGCCATATAATTGAATCAGGACTACATCAGTACACACATTTGATGCAGATGTAAATGAAAATGTAAAGGTAAAGGTATTATGTGCTCGTTTTACACATAGTATTATACGTTAGTTAGCATGAGTCAACTGAGGGGAAAACCACATATTAAAGCAACTGTCGCTAAACTGAATTTCAACAAAAGCATAGCAAGTTACAATACATTACTCATAAGGTTGGCTTCTTTTTTTTTACGCAGTACTTAAGTATCGTTTTGGTCCTGAAACGGCTGTTCAGCTAATGATTAACTTTTATTTTGAAAAGTATTTTTTGAAGGCCTTTCATTTCGATATTTAACAAGAAAGGATATTTAGGCAAGTCTCGAAAGGTATGTATGTACATATATATGTTTCTTTATTACTCTATCTATAACCAGAGCACGGTGAAATATTTTCCAAATAATTCGTTTGCAGATGCATGCATTTCACAGCTGCTAATAAACCCAAAGAGTCTGTGTCTCTCCGAGCAGAACTCTTTGACATCGCGCTGTAAAATTAACTTGAGCAATAAAAAAGGATAGAGCCGGAGAGCGAGAGAGAGATGCTATCGAAATATTTTGATAAAATTTCGTTGCGTTCTGTAGTTGGATAAAGTCTTGCTACCGAAAAAGATGAGGAACAGAAAACTGAGGAACGACTGTGCTGTGCCGTAAATGCCTT